TAAGGAGGCTACTTTTGGGAAGTCTATTAAAGCTTAGGTCTTGGAACTGAGGTCCAGGATAACTCTTAGCAGTGAATATCATCACTACCATCATTGTTATCATCGTCAGAGCCCTATCCCAACTATTTGGGGTCGGCTACACAAATCTTGTTCCACTATTCTGCTCTGTCAAGGGTTATACCCTCAGTAGACTATTAAGTCCACTATACCCTAGTGCCGGTACAACCGTCGCTTACGGGGAACGTCCTAGATGAGTAGATAACGTAGATCCATAATTCATTGAAAGTTGCGGCGAAGTCTTACATTGGTTACCTACTAACACAACCCTTCTTCTTTACCCGGGCTTGGGACCAACATGACCGGCAGGGGACTGGCCAAGGTACAATTAACTCTCAGTAGTGAATAACTCTTCAAAAAAATATGGCTCTCTTCCCTCTAAGATTGAATCTCCCTCTTTAAGGAAGTGATTGAGTTTTCACACTTTGTGAACTTCAGAATTTTGTGGAAGAAGGCAATGTTAAAATCTCCTCCTTTTAGGCACTTAATCCTTTATTTTTATCCCAAAAAATATCATTTTGTCTCAATAGTTCTTGGAGGTCTGCTCGTGCTTTGGCTCTTTTTGGTGACGTTGTCACCTGATAGATCTTTGGTTTCTTTGTTGTGGGCTATCTCATATCTCTTCAAGAACTGCTTGCTTGTGATTTGGGAGGTGGCCGAAGCTGATCCTGTTCCACAGCTTGAGTTTTACTTGGAGTAGATGGAGCTTTTTGTGAAGATGGAAAGCTGTTGATTACTAGTCTTAGAATGAGGAACACCAATTAGAGATGAGTTTGCGTAGGTTTTTATCCTCAAGCCACATGAGCTCAAGCCTAAAGCATACAGGCCTTGAGAAAATGGGGTTCGTATCCAGAAAGATGGGAATATGGTCAGAACTGGGCTTTGGTAAGGCAACAGAGCAGATCCTTAAGACTTGCTTTCCCATTTAAGGGAGACTAGGAATCGTTCGAGTGTTGATATGATTTGCTTATCAATATGGTTGGAGCAAGTGAAGCTTGCTCATTTAGAGGAATGCTGAGGAGATGGTGCCAGGCCATGAAGTTTGAGAAATCCATCATCTTTGTGAGAAATTGTGATACTTCTTTTTACAGGCAACAGATAACGATAATTTAAATGGAATCAAGATGATCATGGGGTATGACTCATGACTATAGTTTTTTTTTAGAATTGTTAACATTGTATTACTAAGACAGTAATAATTACAAAAGTGGGAGAAACCGAGAACACCTACTAAGGGTGGCTTTTGGTAAAAATACATTAATCAGTCATGTACAAAAATAGCTTATAAGTCCTGCCCACATACAATGATTTACAGTGGTTTTTCAAAAAATAAAAATAAGGCTGAGGAGTGCCCTCGTTGAGGGAGGCTACGTAGTGCGGCTGTGGTCCTGAACAAAAAAGGAGTAGGACCTGGCCTGTTCTTCCACTTGAAATCTAGCTCCCTCCTTTGCCATGAGATCTGCGAGCTCGTTGGATGTCCTCAATGTATGCTTCTAGGAGACGTTCATATCCTTGCAAATGTGAATAATTTCATCAAAACTTGTAGTTAGTTGCCATGGGGGAGAGGTCACCCCACTTGCCCATGAAAGAGTGTTTTGAGAATCTCCTTCCACAATCAGGTGTGTGCCCCAATAAGAGAGCCATAGCTTCTGCTTACTGAGAATCATTGCTGCCAAGATACTCAGAATAGGTAAGGAGGATGTTTCTTTGATGGTCTCTAAAGACACCCCCAGCACCTGTCGGGCTTGGATTCCCTAGGCACAACCATCAAAATTCAGTTTGATGCTGCTTCTGGGGGTGGTTGCCAATTGTTTGCTTTTGAAACTTTTCGTGGCTTGTGGTTGAGGATAGTTTTCCATTGGCAAAGGAAAAAGTTCCTTGATACTCCCGAGAAGACCTTGTGATTAGCGGCCCAAAAGGAGGCCAGTGAAACTACCTTGTGGAATAGAGCCGGTAGGTAAGTCCATTAAAATTTTTGTTATTCCTTTCTACCCATATTGTCCATATGGTAGAAGCCACAGTAGCCTTCCATAAAGTTCTTCCAGCCAATGGTCAGTGTGACTCCAATTCGTAAGATATCAGAGCCCTGATCGTGGGGGTGTGACCCAATGAATACCGAAGAGTTGCAACACCTTGCTCCATAGCTTGTGGGTAAAGTCACAATGAATAAAGGGGTGTGGGTTGGATCCTCTTCACATAGGCACAAAGCACATCTACTAGGGATCGAGATCCCTCGTTTTTGTAAGTGGTCCATTGTGAGTGCTCTTTGGGAACAAACAATCCAATTGAAGGTTTGAATCTTAGGTGGGGCGATGGTTGACCATACTTTTGCCAAAACTGAGGTGGGATTGAGAGGATAAGTGGGGGGTTGAGTGAGACTCTTATAAAAAGAGGCTAATGTGAAGAGACTTGAGGGGGAAAGAGTCCAAACTATTATGTCTCCCATGTATTGGAATAAAGAGTGACAATAGAGCATTCGAGAGTAGTTGGAATTGTTTGGTTTCCTCTTCTGTAAGGTTTCTTCGAAATGATGGGTTTCAGACTCTTTGGCCTCCTAAAAATAACATTTCCTCGGCAATAGAGGAGTTTTTGTTAGAGGCAAGAGAATACAGGGTTGGGAAGGCATGACGCAGTGGAGAGTTTCCCTATCCATAAATTGACTAGAAACTCACCCTATCTCCTTCTCTAGGGTGAAATCTTATGAATCTTCTGAACTATGAAAGAGAAGTGGCAAAGGATTTCCAAGCTCCTGACGCACCATGCCTCTAGATCCTTTTTGGCACCCAGGTTCCTTCCGAGATCCTGTATTTACACCGTAAAACTTGAGCCCAAAGAGAGTTAGGCTGAGAGACTAAGCACCACCACCATTTGCCTAGGAGTGTCGTATTGTGTTTCCTAAGGACCCGAATCCCTAAACCCCCCTGCTTTTTGGGTAGACAGATATTTTCCCACGTTACTAGGTGAAATTTGGTCTTTTCTGCCTATCCTGACCACAAGAAATTCCACATAAGCTATTCTATGCGGTTAGCCACCTATGCAGGCATCTAGTAAAGGGACATGAAGTAGACCGGGGTATTTGCCAAGGTAGCTTTGATCAGGGTAACTTTCCCTGTCATAGAGAGATATCTACCTTTGCACCCCGCCAGATATCTCTCTACCTTGTCAAGGACCTGAGACCAATGCCTCTTTTTTGGTTTCCCCAACCTCAGAGGGAGACCTAGGTATGTAGTGGGAAGGTCTTCCACTTTGCACTCCCATTTTGGGATTATTGCTCTTACTTCTGCATTTGTCATAGCAACTCCCATCATTTTGGATTTCTCCATGTTTTCTTTGAACCCTGTTGCTCTCTGAAAGCATAAGAGAAAGAGCTTGAAAGTGTCGACTTCGTTGCGTGAGGTGTCAAGGAATATCAAGGTGTCATCTGCGTATTGCAGGTGAGACACCATTGGGCCCTGAGTACTACTTTTGAAGCTAGAAAGGAGGCTAGATTGGTAAAGGCAGGATATCAATCGGCTGACTACTTCGGCTGCGATGGCAAATAGGAAGGGAATAGGGGATCCCCTTGTCGGAGTCCCCTCGAGGCTGGGAAGAAGCCTTTTGGGGTTCCATTGATGATGATAGAAAAATGGGGGTCAGGGTAACTGCCTCTCATTCACCTCTCCATCGCTCCCTGAACCCCATTCTAGCCATGGACTCTTCCAGAATGGACCAATCTACGTGGTCATAAGCTTCTCCCAATCTATTTTGAAGATTAGGCCTGGTTTCTTGGCTAATGGCCTCGAGTGGATACACACATGAGCCACCAAGGCCTCATCTAGAATCTGCCTATCTTGGATAAAGGCAGATTGAGATGAAGAAATCACTGAAGGGAGGACTTGTTGAAGTCTAGAGGCGAGGACCTTAGCCGGTATTTTGTACGAAGAGTTCAGGAGGCTAATCGGGCAGAAATCCTTGATTTCCTCTGCCCCTTCAACTTTGGGAACAAGGGCTAGGAAAGTGGCATTGATTGCTTTGTGGATGGTTCCCCTGTGGAAGAACTCCTTAAAGAAACCGATAAAATCAGGACAGAAAGTGTTCCAAAAAATTTTGAAAGGTGCAATCGGAAAGCCATCTGGTCCGGGAGCTTTGTCTTTGGCTAGGGCATTAACTGCTTGTAAAATTTCTTCTTCAGTGAAGGGTTGCTCTAGCCAAATTGCTCGGTCTACAGGGAGAATCAGGAAATCAAGATTTGCCATTCTTGGTCGCGGGCCAGCAGGAGCAGTGTATAGAGTCTCAAAGAACTCTATAATGGCATGCTCAATTTCTTCAGGTTGGACCAAGTAACTATTATTAATTTTGAGCATCGAAATAGTATTGTCTCTTCTGCGACAATTAGCTATTCGATGGAAGAAGGCTGTATTTTGGTCACCCACTTTCAGCCACTTTATCCTTGATCTTTGGGACCAATAAATCTCTTCTTTTATTAGAGGGGAAAGGTATTCCAATTTTGACTGAGTTCTGAGATTTAATTCTGTGGTGTCTAGAGACCTGGATTCTTCAAGACGGTCTAATCCTTGGATGGTATCCAAGAGGGTGGATTTGATTTGGGAGTAGTTACCAGGTATAGATTTACTCCAGGTTTTGAGAGAGGCTTTGAGACGCTGGATTTTTGTCTGAAGTCTATAGCCTGCTCTACCCTTGACTTGGGATGAAAAGGAATTCCACCAGGTTGGTATAAGGGTAGTGAGGGACTCCTCTTGGAGCCAAGCTAATTCAAACCTGAATTAGCTAATTCGAAACTGTAGTTACTAGAGCCCATAATTAGAACACAAGGTTGTATTATTGTACTTATTAATTGCTAATAACTTAATGGGTTGAGAAATTACCTGAGCTATGTTGAATCCAGTGTAACAGAGCAGTCTACTAATTAATTGACTGTGTTCCTTCCTCAATTTGTTGAATAGGCAACATGGAATGCGACAACAGTTATGCTGTAGATGATCCATGTCCACCATCGGAATGGTGAGTACCATTTGCAGTTCCGTGTATTTGATATTTTGATCATTCAGAGCACTTTAATCAGTTAAGACTCTAGAAGTGATACCTTTAGATCTACTGGGTAATTTTCCGTTTTCCTTCAATAAGTGCTGGATACTTTTTTTCTTTAAAAAGTTGGCTTTAGTGGTTGTCAAGCTTCTGCTGGATCAACCTCCTTGAGCCAATTTTCCCTACTATGCAATGCAGGTTAGAGGAGACCCTTATTAACCTTTACTTGATGGGTTATCCCAATTCAGAGACTGCCAACAAGGCGAAACAAGATATGCCAGATATAGGGACCGATTCTACTTCTAGTAACCAATGTTTAGAAAATGTTGATCATGGACATTGTAAGAATTTGGAGCCAGAGAATTCATCTTCAGAAGACCTGAATGACGGGGATCATACTGAGGAGATAGAGGCTGAGTGGATTCCTGAGCATGTGCAAAATGAGGTTGTGACAAGCAGCAAAGTGTCTTCTTGTGAAGAAGGTTCTTTCTTTACTAGAACTTTCTCCATTTTTCCTCCCACTTTTCTACTACACTTTATGTTGCATGGTTAATTGACTTGTACAGAATGGAATTAATATTGCTGTGTATTGGCTATGTTTCGTGCAGAAATTGTTGTAGAAAATCAATCTTGGGATGAAGAAAAGTGGCGAGCTCAATATGGACAGGTAGTTCAGTCTCTGGATGAATGCACACCTAGTACTTCTACAGTGGATTTATGGGATTGGGCATTGGTTACAAAAGCTAGTAAAAGGAAAAATAGAAAAGTGGTCTGGCTGGTTGGAAGGCTAGTTAGAAGGTCTGCCAAGTTGCATCCTTCTATGTGTGGCCTTCTTAAAACTGCTGCTGTATCTGAAACACATCTTGATCTTGTACGAGTTAATTCAGGTATATCTCTTTTGGTTCTTGCTATGACTATCTTTTCACAAACACATCTACACAATATTCTATTTTCTTTTCCCCAACACTCTTTCAAGTCTCTGTCATCTTGAAATATTATTACTAGTTGGAGCATCTTTGACTGTGAATCTCGATGGTTGTGCATTGATTTGGTTAAATTTTTATCTCTTCACCTGCTCTGAATGACCTTTTTATTTAAGTTGTCTTCTGCATAATACTCTGCTGTTTCTAAAGTATGATTATGCATGTCTGAAATGAATAGCAAATGCTTGGAAATTCTGAGATTTTACCAATTTTTATAGGGAAAGTGTATAGATTGAGAAGTCCAAGTGCTAAATACCTCACATCTTTGTCGAGTTACTATGATTCTTCCAATCCCACCAAGGATTGGGGCTTTCCTGATTTCTGTGTTCGTGAGGGGGGTCTTGAGCCGGAGGCCTCGGACATCGTTTTTAGTGAAGATCCAAGTTCTGGTCAAGATCACTCTGTAACAGCACAGGTAACATTATCTAATATTGTTGTTTCTATCTGTGATATGCAATGTTTATTAATGTATGTATTCAATCTGTATTAAGACCGGGTTTGCATGAATATGATCATGTTCAGACTTGCATTGAAAAGTTAATTTTGTTATTTCTTTGTTATTTTTGGAGAATGTTCACTTTGTATTAAGTAAAAGAACGTGTACGGGCGAAGGTGTACATAAATGAGGCAACCATAAACAGGCGTCTATGCAAAAACCCATATTGGGCCCAAAAAACGTTTTACAGCAAGAGAGAAAAGGTACAACAAAGGATGAACAGGTGAGGCCTAATAGCTCAAAAAGCCACCAAAATCCCTGTGCTGGAGTTGGAGTGGGCTCCCTCCCTAACCAGCATCAGCTGCTGAGTTAGCTTTCCTGTAAATCTGGTTCCAGGAGACTCATATGATATACCCCTGCAAATGTATGAAATCTCGTCAAAAATGTGGTTAAGTCTCCAAGGGCAGAAGGTAGGGTTAGAAGCCCATGCAATTATGTTCCTAGATTCCCCTTCAATCACCAGCTCGGGACTCCAACTAGGATTAAATTTATAAAGGCCCTCCAAGAGGGCAAGGGCCATAGCAAGGGTGAACTCAGCGACGCCAGTCAGGCAAGAGAAGGATAACAGTGTGTTGCTGCCATTGGTTCCGAAGAGACCCCCAATACCAGAAGGGCCAGGGTTGCCAAGAGAGTAACTATCAAATTTCAGCTTGGTGGAGCCAATTTCCGGCAGTTTCCGAAGGGAAGCCCATGGGATCCTTGAAGTTCTCAAGACCAACAGAGACTGCCAATTGCTGTGGAGGTCAGAGTAACAGAATTCTTTGAATAGTTTGTGGTTTCTGGCCCAAAAGGAGAACAAAGTTCTAACTTTTTCGATCATAGTGCCCCTAGTGGTTCTCTCACCCCTAAAGGTTCTATTGCCTATTTCTATTCAAATCACCCAGAGTGTGGCAGCCACCGAGGTTCTCCAAAGTAGTTTTCCTGCCTTAGGCCAAGGGGTGGTAAGAAAAGCCTCAAACAGGTGGGGGATAGATCGGGGGGTTACCCAGGACCACTTGAATAGTTAGAGGAGCTTGCTCCATAAAGCTCTAGCAATCTCACAATGGATAAAAAGATGTGCATTTGTTTCTTCAGCCTCTAGGCACATGACATATCTATTGGGGCAAGGAAGACCCCTTCTTTGAATCTGGTCGATTGTCAGCGCTGCTCGTAAAGAGCAATCCAGCTGATTACTTGGATCTTCGGAGGTATAAAGAAGAACCAGGTTTTAGACAGCTAAGGCTGGGGGGGAGAAGAAGGACTAGGTGGGGAAGGGAAGGTGTGAAAAAGGAGGACACCGAGAAGGCATCTGAGGCTGTTGGTAGCCAGATGATTTTGTCATCCCTGTGTGGAGGGAGAAAAACTGAGTGTAGGAGTTCGGCCATAGCCCATAATTCCTCAATTTTGTGGTCAGCTAAAAGCCTTTTGAAATTAGGAGCCCAGGATCTAACTGACCCGGAAACACCAAAGTTGTCAACCACAGAAGAATGAGCGTCGCGAGCAAAGAGTAAAAGGTCAGGGAACTGGTCGTTGAGTGGGGTGTGGCCAATCCAAGCGTCTGACCGAAATAGCACTCTATTCCCCTCCCACAGGCAGAATCGAATGTACTTGAGGAAGAGATTACCACAATGAAGAACAGACCTCCAGAAGCTGGAGATGTTGCCACAGGTTCTGCACTCAGGAACCCAACTATCAATGTTGTAGCAATATTTGTGGCGAATGACTTCCCTCCAAAGATGGTAGGGTTGGGTGGCAAGCCTCCACCACCGCTTGCCTAGGAGAGCAATGTTGTGTTCTCGGATGTTGCATATGCACAAACCATCTTGGGCTTTTGACAAGCAAAGCTTTGGCCACGAGATAAGTGATACTTATGTCCACTTTCCCCCGATCAGAAAATGTCTAGCATCATCTTCTCAATCCTAGCAACAACCAAGGCAGGGATGTGAAATAAGAACATTTGGAGCACTTGGGTATTAACCTCGATGAGAGTGAACCAGCCCACTTGGAAAAGGAATCTGCCTTTCCAATTCACAAATCTCCTGTCGAATTTGTCAATGATGTAGCTCTAGTGGGAGAGACGGGGCATGCTGAGGCATAAGGGACGGCCTAGGTAGGTTGAAGGTAGGTCATCGACTGAGCAGCCCCACCTATCAGCTGGGAACCGAACTATTTGGGGTTCAGTGCAGACCCCCATCATCTTAGAGTTAGCCAGGTTGACCCTGAATCTAGTGGCCATCTAAAAATACTTGAGGAAAAGTAGGAGTGTGTCAACCTGTTGCTCTGAGGAGTCGCAGAAGATGAGTATATCATCTGCGTACTTGAGGTGAGATATGTTGGGTCCGTGTGTACTCGACTGTAAACCTTTGAGAAGGCCAGCTTGGTACAGCCTAGAAATAGAGGAGTTGAATATTTCAGCCAATGATGGCAAAGAGAAATGGCAACAAAGGGTCGCCTTGGCAAAAGCCTCTTGTCGCCGGGAAAAATCCTGTAGGCAATCTGTTTATGAGCATAGGGAAGACAAGGCTTGTAATACACCCACGAATCCATATCCTCCATTGGGGCTTGAAGCCATGAGGTGCCAGGTTGAGATTTGGCCTAGGGCAGGGCAAAGGGGGAAGGGGGGGATGCAGCCAAAAAAGAGGGTGAGGAAGGGGGAGAAGAGGAGCTGTGGGGCAGCTGCTGAGCAATGCGGGATAGGAGGTGGGGGCAGAGTAGTGGATGCTAGTGTGGGTGGAAGAATAACAGCAGAGACGAGGGAGGGACTTAGTTCCATGCTGCCAGTAGCAAGGAGCATCGAGATGGAGGAGGTGGCACAAAGTGGTGGAGGTGAAGGGACCGAAGGACGGAAGGAGCAGGCGAGCCAGTTGCTGAGGCTAGCAGGCGAGCCAGTTGCTGAGGCTAGCAGGGAGGAGGAGGTTCTGGTTTTAGGGGATGATAAAAGGGCCATTGAAGCCAAGGGTGAAGAAGAGGGGGCAGAAGAGGGAGAGCCCACAAAGAAAATAGATGTTGGGAGGGGCTGAGCACTGGACGGCCCCGAGGTGCCACATGGGGTTCCAGGTGATAAGCTGCATCAGTATGGGCGGACAGAGGGGAGGCCTGGCCAGGAGAGAGGCCGGTCAGCCGACACGCCTGCAAATGCTTGCCATGTGTCATTTGCTGGGCGGAAGATGGGGGGATCACGTGACTGGCCAGCACCACTTCATGCATGGTGGAAAAGGGCACCAGAGTAAGGTCAGTGGCTTGCTCGTCACACAAAGCTGAGGGCTGAAGCAGGCTACATGACGTCTCGCACTGGTCCACATGGGGCTGCGACATGTGCGCTACAGGCGGGTGGGGAGAGAGATGAGGTACCCGAGGAGTGAGCTGGGATGTCAACACCAGCCTGTTGAGAGGAAGTATTCTGGGCCGTTTAATCAGCACTAAAAACCTGACTGTTGATTGAGCCTGAGGACTGCGGCTGGGCCTACGAAGCTGGGAACGATGTTAGCAATGGTTCCTTGGTGGGTGCATACGAGTGACTGTGGTCCAGCTTGAGTGGAGCATGGAAGTATTGTCTCCAGAGCCAGGAGCAAGGATTCTGTGGTCCAGGGCATGGCAGGGGGGTGGTGGAGTTGCCTGTGACCAAGTCACAGAGATGCGAAGAAGAGTCCATCCACCTCCAACCATAGGAAGGGGTTTGCTCTTGAGGGGATAAAGGTTTACCATGAGCTGAATGGAGCCGAGGGGAAGGGAATTTGCGGATTTCCAGTGGACAGGTATGAAATCTTCACATGCGTGATAGATTCTTTTGAAGGTGTCAACGTCCTAGGCTTGTTAAGGGATGTGAGAAGCGTTGATGCAGATCTTTTGGGGTTTGACAGCTCCCATCTCCTTGTTCCACCTGGAGAAGGTAATGGCTGCCCCATTGAATCAACGGTTTTGGTCCCCAAGTTCTCTAAGCAGGTTTTCCTCTGAGGGGAAGGAGAAAAGAATATCTCCCAAGGAGTGTTTCTGGCAGGACAGCTCCGAGGCCTCCAAATTTTGAAGCCCAACACTGGATGCCTTTGACGTCGTTTCCCTGAAGATGGAAGCTACCCACAAATGACAGTTGCAGAGCTTTTTCGAGGAAGGCAGAATGTTTTCCCCCCATTGGGATTGAGAAAGCGGCTGAGAGACGGGGCGAAGATGGGGGAAGGAGGGGGAGGAGGGAGAGTGGGCTAGATTCTGGGGAATGGAGTTGTGAGTACCAGCCGGGATGGTGGCCTGGGAGGTCTTCGAAGGTTGCAGAAGATGGAAGTAATTTGCGTAAAGCAGGGAAAGAGGCGAAGGTTGAAGGTGGAGAGGCAGATGTAGAAGGAAGGTAAGAGGGGAGAGGAAGGTTAGGTTGATGAAGCTGACGGGGACGAAGGTGCTCTCCTTCTGACGGAGCCATTCTCGAACCATAAAGTTAGTTAAAAAATCATTTGACAAGATACTGAACTAAGCTCAGTTAAATTTAGTTCAGTACTTTTCAAAATATAATTTGTTCTTTCTTATGAATAGGTGACTATATGTTTCGAAAGGACTTTTGTAGATATTGTGAAAATGCATCAATAATTTGTAGATTGTCTCTAATAAAAAAATTAGTTTGTAGATTCAGATGTTTAAGCCTTTGACTCCCCATTCAAGTAATTAGCAAGAAAGGTATGGAATCTATGGTCATCTGCTCTGTAGATTTTAAGGATGTATAAGCACATTTTGGATAATTTTTATCTTCCCACCTTTGAGTTCCTTTGCACTAAGATGTCCCTTTAGTTCTGATTTTCTCATTTAATATCGTATTATTTAACCCAGAATGTCCCATGCATAACGTGTAATTGGCAACTTTTTTCCATTATCTTTGGTTTCAAGGTTTTAACAGTCCAAAAAACTGGCTTTTAGGCTTTAGCTGACTCTTTATCTATCTTCTGTGTGTGTTGTGTGTTTTTGTGTCTGTTGTAGCAGTTCTTCAGCTAATGGGGCTGTGCACTGCCACCTGGCAGTTGTGATGGCAGTTTTTTGTGAAAGGTGGCTATATAGATCTCACAGGGTGTAATATTTTGCAAAATTTTCAGCAATCATACAGGTCCATTTACAAATGCCACTTACGATAAATCTCAATAAAACTAAGAAAAAACTAAACAAGGATCCTCACTTACTGCCCAAAAAACACTCTCATTTCATTCATTAAAAACAGAAAATTTACAACTAGTAAAAAAATAAAAAATAAGAACTATGGGAAGCCTTTATCAAAAGTAGATGCCTTGGACCACCTACAAAGGAATTAGTGCACCCATTCCAGATTGCCTAGACCGATGACACACTTATCACGGTCCCTGCTATAATATGCTCAAGATAGATAGCAAATAGGGAAACCAAATCACAATAGGGGTATGAGAGAGCAAAACATGTACACAAGGTGCACCAACTCATGGAATCTCAACGGTCTACACTATGGGCAAGAGAGGAACCAATAGTTTAGGTCTTCTGGCTGTGGTGTGCCTTACACTAGGACTGGAGAGACAAACGTGCAGCCCTTAAAGAGAGAGAACTGGCTGGGGCTTAGGGGAGTGCCATTCTAAGACCGTCTGAGAGGAGCATGGTACCAAAGCGGGAGAAGATGTGCTAAGGCTTGGGGTGCGCCACTCTAGGGTTACTAGGGAGGGTCGTGGCACCCCCACAAAAGAGAGATTATAGAGAGGTGAGAGAATTGCTTGGAGAGAGGAAAGAAAGGGAGAGGCTCAATCAACGTCACACCCTTTTTTATGATGGGTAGTGGTGACCCCTTTAGATGGTATTGTCAAAAACTAGGGTTTATCATCTTTTAGCAGAATCAGTTTGGACCGTTGATCTATGGTGATCTGTATGATCAAGGGGGGCTTTTAATCTCATCCCCCCATTCCCTAAACCAGCCATTGTGATAGAGGCAAGGTTCTAGAACCATCATTCTTTAGTTCCCATAACCTATTATCTTTTAACTCTAGAAGTTCCAGCAACATAGAAAACTTCTAGATGCTAAATATTCATCTCCAAAAATCTTTGCACAATATTTTATTCTCAAAAATACTTTCTTAATCATTTTGAAGTCTTCCTCTTCTCTTTCCATAATCATAATCAAACACAATAGTTGGTTTCTAGACGGCATGGAACATGAATTGGGAAAGAGAGGACGAAGTGGGTGGTGTGGGTCAAGGAAGCCCTAGTAGGCCCTATGCATCAGGTAAGAGTAGGCCCTCACACATGGCCCTTGGACCTGGGTCAAGGAAGCCCTAGTGGGCCCTATGCATCAGGTAAGAGTAGGCCCTCACACATGGCCCTTGGACCTTTGGGCCCCACGTGGGTCATGCACAACATTTGTATGGCCCATGGAAATTTAAGACCCCATCTGATATTTTCAAAATAGGTTATGAGTTTCAAATGTTGAAACTTTATTTTATTTTTAATAAAATTTATTTTATAAAATAAGATACTAATTCGTTTCAAATTTTCATTTTTATCATCAATAAATTTTCTAAACCAAACCAACGCAATTGAAAGAGAATTAGATCCATAGGGTAAGGAATATGCGAATTACCAAGGCACTATACTTGTGTCAGTTTTTGTAGTCCTTAGTCCATCTTCACAAACCAACTCAACGAAACCTATGGCTTTCAATCGATCATGTTGGAGCTCATGGTCGGTCCATCAAAGCTAACCAATAAATAGAGAGAATATGCAATCCTAGTGTGCGGATCATGGCTTCCCCCCTAAGGACAAGTCATGCTCCCATGATATGTACACACTACCACAATGATGTAGGGGATCGTCTCTTCAACATATATGCAAATCTTAACCCAACGGGTTACTTCCCATAGATGTGACTATTATGTGGTCATGTCATGCGGTGGTAGTGCTAAGTATTTGGCCCTTGGCCTCACAAGCCTCCAATCCATATGCATAAGTCCATCTTCCTCCTAGCCAAGACCATCATGGGGCATCTCTCTGACCTCAATAGAGCTAACCCAGAAAACCCTCCACGGTTGTATATGATGCCAAGGGCTAAAGGGTTTTGGGCTCTGCTTCTGGGCCTAGACTGCCCAAACCGGATGAGTCATCATGCACTCATGCCCCCATGGTCCCACATGGACCACACTTCCACTAGAGTAGAATATCACTATAATCTCAGTTTTTACATGCTCTCAAGGGCTTTTAAGGCCACGTACCTTAATATATTGCGCAATTTGCAAGGGAACATCCCCACCATATATATGTAGTTGGCGTATTTTTAACAATGTCTCTGGTTTTTGGTTTTTAATGCTCTAGCAGGCCATGAAACTGGCTTTTAGGCTTTAATTTGATTATTTATGCTGGCATTTCTTTTGCTAAAAGGGTTGTGCAGTGCCAACCTATGTTTTTTATGACAATGTTTAGTGCAATTTGCAGCAAAACTGCCCCCTCACCCCTCAGACATGCACGTATATATAATGTTTTTCTATGGTTAACATCCCTAAAATCGTATAGGTTACATTAAGAATGTAGTGTGAACCGTTGAATCTACTTTACTTGCCTATTCCTTTATTCTATGCCCATTAAATTTGTAAGGGCATTTTTGTCACTCAAAGTCAAAAGGGTATGTTGTTATGTTCACTAAAATATAGGTAGTAGTGGTGTGAAACTCTAGGTACTTTATTAGTGTAAATACCTGTCTTATAAGTGAGAATAAATGTTATTAAGGCATGACCGGTGGATAGTCTGTTCAAACCAGCCTAACCATATTAGTTCATTTGTCATAAAATAAAAAGGGAAAAGAATTGCCAAAATTGAAAGATAAAGAAAAATATAGAAAATGAAGAAAAAACATGGAAAATTTTAGAAAAATCCCAATTAGTTTGGATGAGGCTCGGATGATGATGATGATGATAATGGAAAATTTTTATAAAAATAGTATGAACAAAAATATGGACCATTTTTCATAGTTCCATTGAAGTATCAAAGAATCATAAAACAAAAAAAGAAGAAATGAAAACAAAAAGCTGAAAATAGCCTAATATTTATTTATAAAAAATGCATATAAGCTGCACAAAAAACAAAAAGCCTTCAATAATAAACTTCTCAAGGGAAGAATAATCATTATATTGAATATAAAGGAAACAACCTATTGCATTGATTTTTAAAAAAAAAAAAAACTCATTTATATGAGAAACCTCCAAAAATTGAATTTTTTATAATTCATAAATATAAAACAATCAAATCAAGAAAATAGATTAATGAACTTACTTGTGGGCTTGAAATTGGGAGGATTGATGGTCTGAATCCTCCATTAAAGTCACTGAAATTTCTCCAAAGAGATTGGGGGTTTGAGAGAGAGAGAGAGAGAGAGTCGCTAAAGTAGCTCTCTCTGAAAGAATCCACCTTAAAGCCCCAAAACCCTCCAAATTGGTAGAAACGGCCCTAACACCTCTTTTCCTTTTCCAAATGATCGAAAAAACTAACTAAAATGGATGAAAAATTGAAAATTGGTATTCAGTTTTCGTCATTTTTTATCCCATTGGGACCGGCCAGTTTGGTATTGAACCGGTGGAACCCTTACCCCATTTCATATGCTTGTAAAAATGGAAGGGGCAATTTTATAGTTCACACCTAATCCATATGTGACCTACCGAAACTTGAGAGGTGTAAATGTGTGCGCCCACACACACACATATATAGGTCATTCTAGGGTACACCACTCTAATGGTGAACTGAGAATTTATTGCTCAATAATTTTCATTGTAAAATACCTTTGTATGGAAAAAATGGCTTTTGACTAAAAATTGTTCATGTAGGAAACCTTGAAACAAATTCAATTTTGAAAAAAGGATATTTTGACGTCTTGAATTTTGTTTGAATTTTGAGAGCAATTTAAAGTTATAAGTATGCCCTTCTAAAATTTTAAACAAGCTATTGCTAATGTATTTTAAGATTTATAAGGGTAGTTTTGTGGTTACTCTAAAAATCAACTTCACAATCCTTAACTTTTTGTTTCATATTTGAATTCTAGAAGCAATTCAAAATTACAAATGTAGTCTTACACAAAAATTTCATACAGGCCATTGCTAATGTAAATTTTATATTCGTATTGGATTTTATAGTATTCTGAGTAGGAAATTCTAAGTATATCATTAGGATGGCACAGCCTAAAATGACTATATATACATATATAGAGCTGACTGGCCTATAGCACATTATAGGCTTGGCATCCAACATCGAAGAAGATGAGACAAAATATACGGCCAAGGACAGTGGACTCATGTTACCCCAAATTTTTCACGTGAATCTTTTTTTTTTTTGGGAACTGCCTAGATGAGACCTAAATTGCACAAATTTGTGGTCCATTAGACCCCTACTTTTATTGCAATCCTGATTTTATGAACATGCAAAGCTGGTCTGTTCATCAATCTTGGTCATCTGGCCTATACTGTGCTATATAGGCTGGTTGGTTCATGTATTCATTTCCACACACACGCATGCGTGCACACACACATAGAATTATGCCATTCTTAAATAAATTGGTGGACTTAATCCATTTTATATTTATATGTGGGACGATTTTGTTGAATTTAAAATGACCAGTTTACTTTCGTCCATACTGATTCTAGAACTCTGCTATTTTAGCAACCACACTCCTGACTTGTTCTTTTATGTGGTTCTGCTTTTTAACAAGACATAGATGGTGCTGGTGGATTGAGTAGCATAGCACCATGAGTTTTTCTTTTCTTTTTGGATATTTGGAAGCTGTTCAAAAGACTCTCATTTTTCTTTCTCAGTTTTGTTTTTAATAATTGTTTTCTGTTCCTCCAATTATAATTTCCTTGTTTGGAATCATATGGTCCTATCATGTTCTAACTCATACTACGTTACGTTTCTAACAGAAGAATCACATCTATGTAGACAGAGCTGCCGAGAGAAGAAAGCTACATGGTGGTTTTGGAATAGGGCCTGGTCAGAAGAGCGTGAAATATAATGTTGATGAGGTTGAATCATGTTCAGGATCTACTCATTCCGGAGAAGCTTTAGCCGAAGCCCTTGACTTCTCCTTTGGACCTGGCAGTTATTCAAGAAGGCTTTTAGAGGGCATGGGCTGGAAAGAGGTAGATGTCTTGCATTCCTCATACTTTCTTTTTTTTTATGTATTGCCTTAACATATTTTCCAATATGCCCTTACCAATATTCTAAAATATTCTTTATATACATCTGTACATGCCAAAGCCATTGTCATATGATAATCATACTGCACTTTTCAACCCGAAACTTATACTACAAGATGCAGGTAGGATGTAGGGCGTGCGACGTCTTTATGCACTATACACATGAAAAGTGACTGCTTATTCTGTTTCATATGGGTTGTGTTCTATGAACCATGGTCACGGCATCATTCATGATTAACTGATTCTGCTTGTATTTATCAACTTATGGACATCTTATTAAGCTGACAATGTGCTATATATCTGAATTTTGTTTCGTCTTTTAATGTTGAAGGGACAAGCTCTAGGGAAAGGCACCAAGGGTTTGCTTGAACCACTTCAAGCAGTGGGGAACAAAGGCTCAGCAGGGTTAGGCTGGAAAAGTGGCAGAGTTTGAGAGAACATATTCAATGAGGGTAGGAATTCAGCTTTAGTGCATGAAGACACAGACACAAAGTGGAATACGGGAACAGTGTGTAAATATTATTATTTTTTATGTTGATATGTATGAATTAACATATTGCTAGGAATACTCGTGCATGTTGTGAGTCTTCACACAAAGAAGCATTTGAAAAGAATAATAATCTTACTAAAATTTGGCTATTTAAAAAGAATCTGATCAGCTGAAGTATTGGGGATCAGTCAGTTGAAGAAACTCTGGGAATCAGATTCTTGATAGAATCTTAAATTATTGTACCACGAGAAATTTCTTTCACTAACAGGGTCTTTTCTTCCTCAACAAAACTGTATGCGTCATTTTGGCAAATACAGGAAAGCGTCTTGGTTATGAATACTTGTTTTTATATTTTTTTATGGAGTGACCATAGTCACCATACCATAGTTAAATCATTGTAATGAGAAAACAAAAATCGTGTACTTTTTTTTGGTACTTGCTAAGTAGGCGTGATGTTTTAAGTATTTAATGAATAAATTTATATAGTATATTTGTTTTTTTATGTAATAAGTAGGTATGATGTTACTTAAAGTATTTAACGGGTAGATTTATGTAGTACATATTTTTTTGGTATATACTAGTTAATTATGTATTTAATATTGGATGATTGGATAAGAGTCACAGGGCATTTAAATTAATTGATTTAATTCTATTAGTCTTGTAAAGTTTTTATAGATGAATTAGTAATTGATGGTTTTGACATAATTTTTATTTTTTAGAATTTTAAAATTTCTAATATTATAAATTTATTCGATTTTTTGACTCCGATGTTTTAAGCTTAATCCGATATATTAGCGATATCTTTATATGAAGTATTTTAGCGGATCCGTATTTTTTACTTGTTTTTTTTATCTGCTTTTTTAAAATAAAAACGATTTATTTTTTATTTTATAGTGAATGATTTATTGATAGTCCCCGACTTGTTAACTATGATTCGTACCGCTGTATTTCTTAAAATTGATCAAGGACAGAGAGAAGGGTGGAAAACATGGCAAACAAAAGTCATTAGATAACAAATACAACGGTCCCCAACATTTTATAAGAAGTGCGGGGTGCATCCGGAGACGCACTTCTACATGTGTATCCCAGACGCAACTAGCATCCATCTTAAAGATGGATGTCAAAAGGTGGTGGTCCCACCACAATCTTTAAATCAATGATCAATCACAAGCTATTATTTTTTCAAACAAAAATTAACATATATATATAAAACACTATGGAAAGCCTATTGGCGAAAATGAATAGTAGTTTCGCCTACTCCCATTACCGTTCAAAGTTTATCACGCAGTTACGATTGTTCGGTAGTGTTTCATTTTTATTTTTTTTTTAAAAATCAGAATGACCTGAAATTTGGATTGTAAACTTTGTCCAATATCAAACCTTCAAGCAATAAGCATGTATGAGAACAAGTGTTAAAAGACTCCGACGAGCCAAGTTGGACTCGGTTGTGTAACTCGGACTCACCACCCGGGGGAGTTCGAGTATCCCCAAGTTGGGTGGTCAACCCATGGATATTGAAATTTTTTTAATAAGGCAATAAATTATTTTTAATATATTTTTTTTATATTTTCTATCATTTTGGTAAATACAGGAAAGTGTTTTGGCTACGAATACTTATTTTTATATTTTTTTTATGTTTATATTTTTCAAAGTTAAATTTCTTCCGTTAAACTCACTTAGATGTTCTTTGTTTAATTTTATTTTAAATATGTATTTATTTTTTTTTTAAAATTTTTGGTACTTTTTAATTTTTTAAACGCCACTCAGCCCTACTCGAGCCGAGTTACTCATACCGGGCCAAGTACTCGGCTCAGGCATCGAACAAATACCCAGCCCAAGATATTGTTTCAATCACCGCTGACATCCATCAAATTACTCGTAAAAACCACTCAGAAAACTGGGATTCAGACAATGAAAGCATCAACTTAACCAAAAGAAATCAAATGAAAGTAAACCAAATTAAAATTGAGATTTACATGACAATAACTTCCCTTCAGTCAAGAAACCATGCACCCCATACAAGAAACTAAACAATGATCTAATTCATAAACAAAACAGAATAAATACAAGAACCAAGAAATAACATGCATAACAAGTAGCAATACGCAAACTAATTAACCTGCAATGCTCCCTCCATTAGCGAGGAAGAAAAGATACCAAAATAAAAATAAAAATTATGGGCTTTACAAGATGAACATACTTCAGAGAGAGCCTTGATTAATGCTGATTCTCTCTCGTAACTATTGCGCTCTCTTTCTCTCTCTAACCGGTGGTTATGATTAAATAATTGTGTAAGGGGCCTTCTACAAATTCGTATACTATATATACACGGGGTAATCTTCTTTAGATAAAATGAATCGCTACTTTCTCCAATTAATGATCCGTATAAACTGTCAAATTTTTATTATATGTTGTACGGTTTCTTGATATACTTACTTTTTATTTCAATTAAAAAGATCATGCTTAGATTTAAGGAAAAACCCAATCCTAATCATCATTTAAATTTTAAAAATACCAATTTACTAAAGGAAAACTGTTTAATGCAGGTTGGACCGCATTTCTACATATGCGTTCCAGTAAGTTTAAAGTATCCATCTTAAAGATGGATGCAAATACGTGTTCTATCTAAAAATAATGGAAACTAACGGTACCGATGTTTTCTTACAAAAATTATCATTTTTAGTTTTAAAAATTTATTATTATTTCGTATTCATGATCTCCATGTTAGAGATTACATGTCCTTAAAAATAAAGTCTTAAAATCCATCTCAAAAATAGATTTCTTAATAAGCCCGCATTTCTATATATGCGGGCATGGCCGCATAGAAATACAAAACCATGAAACAAAATGGTGCAAGAAAATAAAAACAGAAATAAAAACCATAAACATTGAGAATGCTCAATTGACTTCAAAACAAAAAAATCAAGATATCCATTATAATAATGCTCAACTAACTCCAAAAAAATCCATATGGAAACAACATGCTCTTTCATTCAATAAAGCCACCAAAAAAAAAAAATAACAAGGTCCAAAAGAACTTCTAAATGCATTAATGGTAAACAACACAGTCAAATTCAAGATCATATATAATGTTGCTGCCATTACAAGGAAGCTATAAGCAAAAACAAGAAAACAAATAAAAGAAGAAGAACAATATAATGGGCTTTCTCTCTCTCATACCCTTGAAAGCATGAAGAGTACATATAAAGAAAAAAAAACAAGATACAATTGATGATCTAATAATATTCTCTGGATAATTTAAACATACCTATAAAAGAATCCCTTGGAGCAATTCAGCTCTTCTCTCTCTCTCCTCTCTTTATATCTTTCTCTCACTAGGTTTTGAACAAACCGATAGGGGATCTGTATATTAACGTGCAGGGTTCAAGGTGTTATTTATAGGCACCTGAGTTCCACTAGGAGTAGAGATAATTTGTAAAAGATAATACACATCGTAAATATTTGACCGTGAAATCATAATACACATCGTTCCAATATTTGAGGAAGAAAAAAAAAGGTTATTTATTAGCGTACTACTTTGACATAATAAATTATCATCTCAGAACCATTGAATTTAAACCATCTGACGTTTGAAAAATAAAATAGTCCAATCGAGTCCATTATGGTTAGGTGTCCCATTGGGTGTAGAATTAATATGGAATAAGCTTCGGGATTGAATTGTAGTAGTTAGTTAGAGTTATATTGTAATTAGGAGTCCGTTTAGATGTAGAATAAATATGGTCTAATTTTTGGAATTAAATATAACTATTCAGTTAAGTTGTATTGTAATAAGGATAACCGTTGCAATCCCATTAAGATAGGGACTGCAAGTTAACTGAATGGTTATCACCTGAAAATTGAATTTCTTGTAAGAAAATTGAATTCAAGATATCACCTGAAAAATAGGAGGCGATATGTGATGAGAGACGTAGAAGTTTCTTGTAAGAAAATTGAATTGAAGATATCACCTGAACTGAAAAAGAAGTTGGGTAGAAATCCAAAATAAAATTTCTCCAATGTAGTGACACACCTTTATTTATTGGATTTTACATCCAATGGCTAAGGGCTCGTCACCTTTATTTATTGGATTTTACATCCAATGGCTAAGGGCTCGTTTGGATCCTACGGTAAGCATAAGATGGTTTTGTATACCCATGTTATTGGGAAAAAAAACGCGTTTGCCATTTTTTTTAACCACCTTTTGTATAACCACAAAAAGGAACCAAAAAAACGTGGGTTCCCCAATTCAAGAAAAAAAAAACACCTAACCTAGCTAAACAAAACGTTGTTTTAATCAGCCACGCTCGTCTCTTGCGTGAAAACCCCCCTTTTAACCAATTATCGACCTATCCTCTGTCTTTGTCTCTGCGCATTTTTTCATATGTGGCTTGTGCAGTATGTTGGCCCCTACACAGGAACTCTTTCTCTCTCATCCCAAAATCTTTCGTCCTTCAAATTTTCCTCTCTCTCTCTCACATCTCAAAAGTTTTAGCATCTTTTCTCTTGTTACTCTTATTTAGAGGAAAAAAGATATACAAGGTTTAGGCCCTAAACAATTAAATTTAGGCGCACTTCAAAAATTCATTAGAAAAAAAATGCTTGGATACCAATAAACCCTAAAATCCGATCAACTCATGGACATAAAAGATAGTTTTTCTCTCTAAAAATATTGAAATAGTTTCTCTCTATAAAGATTTTGAGGTTGTTTGTCTTTCTAAAATTTGGTATAGTTTCTCTCTCTCTAAAATTTTCATAAAACTTCTATTAATGGGAAAATTTTTCTTATATATTTGTTGCATACCAAATGTGTGCAATGTGATTTTCACATAAAAGTATTTCGTATGAAAATATTTTCACACACCTATCAAATGTGTCCAAAATAGTGTAAACCCAGGTTATGCAAACAGATGACCCAAACAAGGGTTTTTATATAAACTGGGTATTATTTTCAAGCTATCCAAACAATTTTGATATAACCAGGGTTTGCATAACCATGTTATGATCCAAAATATGGTTTTCTTTACCCTATGATCCAAACAAGCCTAAGAATGATTGTGACATCCATGAACTAAAAGTAAATGAACAAATTTATATAGAGCCGAGTCTCTAAACAATCAAATTAAAACGCACTTCAAAATTTTCACTAAAAGATGTTGTTTTGATGCCCAA